AGGGCTCTCGAGGGATGGTCTGATCAGTGCTTGGGGAGGTGTGTAGGTGTTTCCGTAGGGGCAACGACGGTGGAAAGTCCGAACCAAGTTCCCACCATGCACATTCCGCCTGAATATGCCGATTTGGCGCTCTCCTTCTGTAAAAAGAAGGCTACTCAATTACCACCCCATCGACAGGGGGATTGTGCGATAAACCTCCAAGTAGGCGCTGCGCTTCCCCGAAGTCATGTGTATCCTCTATCTCAGGAGGAGACGGCGGCTATGGAGACATATGTCACCGAATCTCTGAGACAGGGATACATACGGCCGTCCACTTCCCCTGCGTCATTGAGTTTCTTTTTTGTGAAGAAGAAGGATGGTGGTTTACGCCTGTGCATTGACTACCGTGGTCTCAATCAGATCACAATCAAATACAGCTATCCACTCCCTCTGATTGCTAGTATGACGGAGTCATTACACGGGGCGCGCTTCTTCACAAAATTGGATCTCAAGAGCGCGTACAACCTGGTGCGTATTAGGGAGGGAGATGAGTGGAAGACAGCATTTAGTACCACCTCGGGCCACTATGAGTACCTCGTCATGCCATACGGTTTGATGAATGCTCCTTCAGTCTTCCAATCGTTTGTGGATTAGATTTTCCAGGACTTGCATGGACAGGGTGTAGTGGTTTATATCGATGACATTCTAATATACTCCGCTACACGAGCCGAGCATGTGTCCCTGGTTCGGCGGGTGCTTGGTAGACTGTTGGAGCATGACCTGTATGTGAAGGCGGAGAAATGTCTGTTCTTCCAAGAGTCCATCTCCTTCCTGGGACACCGTTTGTCCGCGTCAGGTGTGGAGATGGAGATTGACCGCGTTTCGGCCGTGCGCAATTGGCAGACTCCCACCACGGTGAAGGAGGTGCAGCGGTTCTTCGGTTTTGCCAATTACAGAACGCTAAGGCAGACGCCCTGTCCCGACTATATGACACCGAGGAGAGGTCCATTGAGCCCACTCCCATACTTCCGGAGTCTTGTCTGGTGGCACCGGTGGTGTGGGAGGTTGATGCGGACATTGAGCGGGCATTACGCACCGATCCTACTCCCCCCCCAGTGTCCAGAGGGTCGGATGTACGTGCCGCTCGAGGTTCGTGATCGATTGATATATTGGGCTCACACGTCACCCTCCTATGGTCATCCTGGTATCGGTCGGACAGTGCACTGCCTTAGTGGGAAGTACTGGTGGCCCACTTTAGCTAAGGACGTGAGGGTTTATGTTTCCTCCTGCTCGGTGTGCGCCCAGTGTAAGGCGCCTAGACACCTGCCCAGAGGGAAATTACAAACCCTTCCCGTTCCACAACGGCCGTGGTCTCATCTATCGGTGGACTTTGTCACGGACCTTCCCCGCTCACAGGGGAACACTGCGATCTTGGTCGTTGTGGATCGGTTTTCGAAGGCCTGCCGTCTCATTCCTATGCCAGGTCTCCCTACAGCCCTACAAACTGCTGACGCCCTGTTTACACACGTCTCCGGCACTACAGGGTACCTGAGGATATAGTGTCTGATCGGGGTCCCCAGTTCACCTCTAGAGTCTGGATGGCGTTTATGGAACGCCTGGGTGTCTCAATTAGCCTTACCTCAGGTTTTCACCCCGAGAGTAATGGGCAGGTGGAGAGAGTGAACCAGGATGTGGGTAGGTTTCTGAGGTCCGATTGCCAGGACCAGCAGGGGGAGTGGTCGGGATATATCCCCTGGGCAGAGATAGCCCAAAACTCACTTCGCCACTCCTCAACTAACCGTACGCCTTTTCAGTGTGTGTTAGGTTATCAGCCGTTCCTGGCACCTTGGCATCAGAGCCAGATCGAAGCTCCTGTGGTGGATGAGTGGTTTCGGCACTCGGAAGAGACCTGGAACGCTGCGCATGTCCACCTGCAGCGGGCTATCAGGCGACAAAAGGCGAGCGCCGATCGCCACCGCAGTGAGGCTCCGGTGTATGCACCGGGAGATTGGGTCTGGCTCTCGACAAGAAACCTTCCCCTTCGCCTGCACTGCCGGAAGCTGGGTCGGCGGTTTGTGGGGCCATTTAAAGTCCTGAGGAGATTGAACAAGGTTTGTTATAGGTTACAACTTCCCATTAATTACCATATTAACCCCTCGTTCCATGTGTCTCTCCTCAGGCCGGTAGTAGCTGGTCCACTCCAGGACTCTGAGGTACGAGAGGTTCCTCCGCCCCCACTGGACATCGAGGGGGCTCCGGCGTACTCAGTCCGTTCCATCTTGGATTCGAGGCGTTGGGTGGGGGGCCTGCAGTATCTCGTGGAGTGGGAGGGGTACGGTCCGGAGGAATGGTGCTGGGTCCCTAGGAGGGACATCCTAGATCCCTCCATGTTGAGGGATTTCCATCAGAATCATCCGACTCGCCCTGCTCCGCGTCCTCCTGGCCGTCCCCGAGGCCGGGGTCGTACTGTCACGGATTCAGCTGAGGCTGCCCCTCCTCCTTGCTTGGTCAGGCTTCGGCGTTTGTCGTCCCCGGAGTACTAGCTGCTACCGATCTATGTTTCTGTGTTTGACTTGTTTGGTCTTTATTGTGTACACCTGTTTCCCATTATGTTGTATTGTCTTCCCTATATAACCCTCTGTCTTTCATCGTGTGTTGTGTGTGATTGTATTCGTCATCGGCAGTAGTTCGTGTGCGGGTTGTTTTCCTCCCTGTGTGGAGGTTGTTTATACTCTGTTTACTTTCGAGTAAAGTACGTTTCCAGTAAGCTCTGTGTCCTGCGTTTGACTTCGCCTACCACATTCACTGACGCTCTGACAGTCCCTGTGTTTTGATTCAATACTCGTCATCATTATACCTGGCAAATATTGACATGTCAAAATGCTCTCTCCAATCAAGAGTAAGACAATAGAGATCCATTTGAATGGAGCTTTGACTGACATGAAAGGATCATTATCATTCATCTTGTGAAAACACAAGACGTGCAGAACCCAGAAGAACCCAATTAAAGCATTAGCATTTAACTGCTAAGAAACTCTCAAATAATGCCTTCATCTCTTTTCTAGGCAGAAAGCTGAGGCTTTCACAGCTTTGTGGCTACAGGTTGTACTGATGTACACAAGATACATTTATCCATTCCCTGATTCCCACACACTGCTGACGAATGTCTCAAAGGCTTAATTCAAACAGACTTGAAAATAAGATTACAGATTCGTATCACCTGTCAGAGAGAGAGAGAGAGAGAGAGAGAGAGAGTAGAGAGAGAGAGAGAGAGAGAGAGAGAGAAAGCACATCAAAATAGGGCAGACCTGCTGCTAATATGGACAAACCATCCCCTGTAGCTCACAGCCAGAGCAACACTGCTGCTGGGTTCCATTACTGAGAGGTGCAGGGAGCTTTGAGGCAGGCACGTTGTAAATAATGCCAAATTGTTTAATGCACAGAAATAGTTATTCCTGACAGCTGACAGAGCCTGACTTATGCACCATGGGGGCAGGGCATAGGGATAGGAAACCAATTGAAGGAGAGATCTTCAGTTGAATTTGGAAGAAAATCAAGAGATCATAAATATTTACCCACATGGAAATAGATGGCCTATATAGAAGTGTGTATGTTAGTTATCACCTGCTGTGCTCAGTTTTTTGGGTGTTTTTTTAAACTTAGTTTTATAATGCATATAGCTAAACTGTATATGATTGCAGCTAATAAAGCGAACATACTTTCATATAATTAGTCCAGGCGGCCTTGTTTCTTTCGAGTATTTTCCAGCATCTTATCTGTGACTGATCCACATTGTGGGAATATAAACAATGAAACAACAAGTGTAATAAAACATTCAGGGAGCCAGACAAGCTATTCTTGTAAATGGGCCATTAGGCATGCAGCAGAGAAAGACCCCAGAAGGGAGAGATACATCTCAGTGGTACGGATAGCCTAAAGGTACTTACTTAATAAAAGGACGTCTTGTATGAAGAATGCCATCGTATGACTACTAGAGAACAACGGAAGGTCGCGACCCTTCATTTGAATGTCCATAGTAAATGCAAATGTGCTTGGCCTAAAATAGACTAGACTCCACTGTGCCACTGATAGAGCTTTGAGACTGTCTGCTGTTTTATTAGAGGTGAAAATCCTGTCTAATGCTTGGGCCAATAGCCACAATAATATTGGTCCTAATAGGGGGACAAAAAGCATTTTAGTAGCTGGATTTAGCTAAACTATTTTATCAAGACAGTTTCTTCTCAGCTTGAAACATCCTGAATAGACAGTGATGTTTTGACGATTTTACATCAATAACCAAGAGAAAGGTTCACAAATAATGACAGCGAATCCAAAACAGAAATATTCAGCCGCAGGGAATAAGTTAAAGACCTACATAATTAAGTAGAGGATATCAGCTGAATACTGACGGCCCCGTGTAGCTCAGTTGGTAGAGCATGGCACTTGCAACGGCAGGGTTGTGGGTTCGATTCCCACGGGGGGCCAGTATGAAAAAATGTAAGTCGCTCTGGATAAGAGCGTCTGCTAAATTACTAAAATAAAAAATAATAATACTCTATCTGAATTAAACAGACATGAATACAACTAACAATCAACGTCCCAACTACTCTTCCTCCTCTTCATCCAGATGCTGCACTGCGGACTATTCCGATAGCATATGTGGCCCTGGTCTAAGTATAGTACATTTAACAGCTTTGATCTCCAGTCAAGTTGGATGTCAATCACAATGCCATCTGGTGGAGAGCAATACAAGTCCCATGCACAAGGTCACGTCCAAGGTCTCCTCCCACTTCATCATTGCTTTAATCTGGATCAAAATATTATAGGCATCATGGCCGCCGGGGCTTTAATAATTTGGGATGCGCTGTTAAACGATGCTCCCTCATGCAAAGTGGCGGAGCCACAGTTGATTACCGATGGCTGTGTTTTAAACCCAGTTAGGTCTCCCTTTGATGCCTTTCAATCTGAGTGAAGCTGACACATGCAGCATTCGTTGGTTCAAATAATCATGTGGTTCAGGATCACCTACCGTAGAAAGACAGCTTTCCTTTTACAGTGTTCTTCCCCCTGGAGTTCTCTGCCACACACTCGTATGTGCCCGTGTCTTCCTGCTGGAAATAGGGGATTTCCAGAACGCCGCTGGCTTTCCTCACGTCCACCTTCCTAGAAAAGGGGATTCCATCCACTCTATTCCAGTTTATAGAGGGGACAGGGCTGGAGGAAAGAGGAATGGAGAGAGGTAGAGAAACCTTGTAGCGTGGTCATATTAAAAACACAAATCATTTGTAATATCACAACCTCACCAAATTCAGTTGATCAGACAGAAAAACAGACATGTAGGTAATACATAATTCAGCTAGTGAACCAGGAGTCTCAGTCCCAACTCTACCAGAAATATCAGATGTCCAGCCCAGCTTCAACCAGAGGAGGGTTGGAGGCATGCAGTGATACATGAAAAATGTCTCGCTGTTTGTTAATAACCTTTTGCTTTTCATGTATTTGTGTGCCTGTTTAACCAAGCCCAGAGCATACTTACTTTCCTAATGCAAAACATTCCAGTTTCACTGTCAATCCTTTGGCTACATGGACAATCTCTGGAAACTGAACTTCGATCTTCGGCTCGTATTCACCCATTATACCTGAGGAGAGAAATTCACGACCAATTATAAGAAAGCAAAAAACAACAACACAGATAACTGCTGATATGTCGTTTCCTACATATGTCCTTTAAGCGATTACAATCATATACCTGAGAAGTGGTTATTTTGGAACACCAATAACAGGTTCTCATTGTTGCTGGTATTCATTATCTGCAATTCTCTATCACATTTCCAGAGGTTTCTCAGCCCAAATGGGCTCTTGAAATGGGAGAAACAAGCCAATTTCATCTCCTTGATTTTGTGAGGCATGTGTTATCTGGATGGTTCCCTGACTGACCGTGAAAGCTCATTCAGATCTGTATCTCCATTGTCTAATACAGCCAGGTAGCCGAGGCCCTATCAGCCATGGGTAAATGAGACAGCTGGACGAGGCTCTAATCAGTGATGTAGTCAAGTCACTAAACCTTGAGTCCGAGTCGAGTACCAAGTCCCTACACTATTAGAATTTTTTTTCTCCAAAAGGGTTCTTTGTGGAGGAATTGGGTTCTACCAAGAACCGTTTTCATCTGAATAACCCTTTTCGGAAGACGAGGGTTCTTTGTAAGTCAAAGCCCAATGGGCACAGATGTCAGTTCAACATCTAGTTTTGATTTCAATTTGGTTGAGTTGTCAACTAACCTGAATTCAACATGAAATAAATAAATAAAATCACCATGTCATTGTATTTAGGTTAGAAGTTGGTTGAAATAAATTCCCTTACTGGGAGATGAATTCACCTTTCAGCAGGACAATAACCTAAAACACAAGACCAAATCTACACTGGAGTTGCTTACCAAGAAGACAGTGATTGTTCCTGAGTGGCCGAGTTATAGTTTCGACTTAAATCTGCTTGAAAATCAATGGCAAGACCTAAAAATGGTTGTCTAGCAATGATCAACAACCAATTTGACAGAGCTTGAAGAATTTTGAAAAGAATAATGGGCAAATATTTCACAATCCAGGTGTGGAAAGCCCTAGAGACTCACAGCTGTAATCGCTGCCAAAGGTGCTTCTATAAAGTATTGACTCAGGGGGTTGAATACTTATCTAATCAAGATATATTAGTGTTTTTACAAATGTTAAATTTTTCTTCCATTTTAACATTATAGAGTATTTTGTGTAGATCACTGCTTTAAAATTATATAATTACATCCATTTTAATTCCACTTTGTAACAAAACAAAATGTGGAAAAATGTAAGAGATGTGAATACTTTCTGAAGGCACTGTATATCCCTATTATGCATGTAAATACCTTGGAACAGATATAAAAAATTACACGCGGGCCAAATTCGGCACGCGGGCCACCAGTTGGGGAACCCTGCTTTAGAGGATAAAAGGGTTCTTGGTAAAACCCTTCATAGAGTGTTCTAGCCAGAACCCTTCATAGCTAATACAGTAGCTATCTGATGTTTGCTGTTGTAGCTATCATGTTGAATAATGCAAGGGAGAGAGACTTTCTGACAACACTACTGGTCGAGTCCAAGTCCAAGTCATGACTGGTTGAGTCCGAGTCGAGTCACAAGTCATGCAAATTGTGACTTGAGTCCGAGTCAAGTCCGAGTCCTGGACTCGAGTTCTACAACACTGTCTCATACCATAACCTTCAGGAGGTGACAGAAGCTAATGTGCCCTGTGTGACTGGAGGGTTCATTGTTGATGTCTCATTGTCACACCAGTAGGTTTGGTAAGTTGGTTAAAAGAAAACAGATACCTTCTCATGCTGCATCCTAAAAAAAATAGTATGCACTAGAAGCAGTGATTCCTGACAAGCAGAGATTCAGTGTCCTGCATTTGAAACATAACCCTCAAATGCTACTGTTTCTGCAGTGTTTTATCTAAACAATTCCCACCTGACTGCTTAGACACAGTCAGTGTAATGTACTGTAATATTCTACTATACTGTCCTTGGCATTATTTAATGATAGGTAGGCTGACTACACATAAATGTTTCCCCTGATTCAACCAATTACAGTTGTCTTAAGGACCATATTCAATAGGGAGGCTTCATTTACTCATGATCATATCTAAGAGGCATGAATAATTAGTAGTAGTAGTTTTCATGCTATCATACTGAATGTAACACCTGGGTTATGAACGAGGGACTCCCACAGGAACAACCAACGTATTAGACCATTAGACCAAGAGGAAATTCCCTCATGGGCAGAGGGCAGACGCTGGTTTTGAAGTTTGCAGGCGGGGCTACCTCATCCCGTGACCATGACCGACTCATGTCCGCTACATGTACTTGTGCCTGACATATTTGCTAGATATAACCATTAGAAAAATATAACTGATATTTGTTCATGTTAAAAGGACTCTTCTGGTTTCAGATTGAGGTCTAAACAGTTGGATTAAAAAATCTGCTCAAGGCCATGCAAGAAGAAGAAATAAACAAACTTGTTGAAGGAAAAAGAAAAGTAGGGCAAGTGATTTTAAGGAATACAAATGAAATCCAAAGGTTAATTAGCTGTTTCTTTGCAAATGTAAGATAGTCCACTAGCCAATGGTTGTGGTTGTCACGACTTCCGCCGAGGCTGCCTCCCCTCCTTGTTCGGGCAGGCTTCAGCGTTCGTCGTCACCGGCTTACTAGCCACTGGGGCTCCATATATCATCATTCCATTTGTCTTGTCTTGTTCATTACACACACCTGGTTCTTATCCCCTCATTAGTCCATGTATAAGTGTTCCCTCTGTCCCCTTTGTCCTTGTGGGTGATTGTTTATTCGTGAGAGTAGTGTAGCTCGGTGGAGCTACTCGTACCTTGTTATTGCCGGGGTAGATTTTCCCCTGTGCCTGTTATTGTTGGAGCTACGGTTACCTTGTATTGCCAGGGTAGATTTTCCCCTGTGCCTGTTTCGTTTGTCACTTTCCAGCGCTATTTGTGTACGACGGAATAAATTCTACATTCGGTGACTACCCTCCAGCGCCTGACTCCTTCTATCACACTCATCACAGAATCACCCACCCGCTATGGAGTCAGCAGGAGAAGAGTGCATGCCTGGTGTTGTGGCACGGGTCCAGGAGCATTCCACGATGCTGGCCAGCTTGGGGGAAGCGATGGATCGGGTTCTTCAGGTCGTCCAATGCCTGGAGAGGAGAGGACACGAACTGTCGAGACCAGCTGGCCAACCGGATCCAGCCACCTACACCCCAGCACCCGGAGGGATCCAGATATCCTGACCACGGGCGTTAGACGGGACGGCGGCGCTCTGCCAAGGATTCCTCCTCCAACTGGAGCTTTACTTCTCCAGCATCAGGCCGGCGCCATCGGAGCGGGAGAAGGTGTCCGTCCTCGTTTCCTGCCTCTCAGGGAAAGCCCTGGAGTGGGCCAATGTGGTTTGGAACGGAGGAGGAGCCGCGTTGGAGGACTACGGGGAGTTCGCTCGCCTCTATCACCCGCCCGAGGGTTGAGATGCGGGCGAGCGGCTAGTCCACCTGAGGCAGGGGACGAGGACCACGCAGGACTTTGCGTTGGAGTTTTGGACTCTGACAGCGGGTTCCGGGTGGAACGAGCGGGCCCTGATCGACCATTTCCGGTGCCATCTGCGGGAGGACGTCCGACGGTTGCTAGCCTGCCGGGACACCATGTTGTCTTTCACGAAACTGGTGGACATGGCCATCCATTTGGGCAACCTGCTGGCAGCCAGAGGACGTCCTGGTAGGGGTCTGCCCGTTTCCACCCCGGGCGACTCGGATCCCGAGCTGATGGAGCTGGGTGGAGCCGCCATCCGAGAGAGCGGAGGACGACAGCGACAGTGCAACTCTGGTGGCACAAAGGGACAGTACACCAAACGTCGTAGTCAACGCTCTTTTGGGCCTGGAGGCGGCAGGCAGGGCACTCTCGCATCACCCCAGGTATCGAACACCCACACTTGTTCAGAGCCCTCTGCTGCACACTGTACCCTACCTATCAACTTTCCCGATCACATGGTAGTTCCCCAGTGTAAGGCGCTAGTCGATTCAGGCACAGCTGAGAACTTTATGGACAGGGCATTCTCATGCCGTCAAGGCATTTCATTGGTTCCCCTATCCATTCCACTCCCCATCAGAGCACTTGATAGTCGACCATTAGGGTCCGGGTCTGTAAAGGAAGTCACTGTACCAGTCACCATGATCACCCAGGAGACTCATTGTGAGCAGGTAACTTTTTTGATTATTGAGTCTCCTGCTTTCCCTGTGGTATTAGGTATCCCTTGGCTAGCACTCCACAACCTCACCTTCTCATGGCCACAGAGGGTTCTCACAGGGTGGTCGCGAGTGTCAGGGTAGGTGTCTAGGTGTTTCCGTTGGTGCAACCACGGTGGAAAGTCCAGACGGTACCTCCACCGTGCGCATTCCCCCCGAATACCATGATCTGGCGCACACATTTTCTAAGACACAGGCGACAAAATTACCACCTCATCGGGCGGGGGATTGCGTGTCAGGAGTCATGTGTACCCCCTGTCGCAGGCTGAAACGGAGGCTATGGAAACATACGTCACCGAGTCCCTGGGCCAGGGGTATATACGTCCCTCCACTTCACCCGCCTCCTCGAGTTTCTTCTTTGTGAAGAGGAAAGACGGTGGTCTGCGCCCGTGCATTGATTATCGATCACTGAACAAGGAGACTATAAGATTTAGTTATCCTATCCCCCCTCATTCCTTCAGTGATTGAGTCAATGCATGGGGCGCGCTTATTCACCAAATTAGATCTCAGTAGTGCATACAACCTGGTGCGTGTTCGGGAGGGGGATGAGTGGAAGACAGCATTCAGAACAACCACGGGGCATTATGAATACCTAGTGATGTCCTACGGTTTGATGAATGCTTCCAGTCCTTTGTGAATGAGGTGTTTCGGGACATGTTTGGTCGCGGTGTGGTGGTCTACATTGATGACATCCTGGTGTATTCTGTTACGTGCGCCGAGCATGTGTCCCTGGTTCGCAAAGTGCTTGCCCGACTGTTGGAAAATTACCTTTATGCCAAGGCAGAGAACTGTATGTTTTTTTCCAGCAGTCCGTCTCCTTCCTCGGATACCACTTTACCACCTCAGGTGTGGAGATGGAGGGAGATCACATTTCAGCCATGCGTAATTGGCTGACTCCAACCACGGTTAAGGAGGTGCAGCGCTTCCTTGGCTTCGCCAACTACTATCGGAGGTTTATCCGGGGCTTTGGTAAGGTCGCAGCTCCCATTACATCCCTGTTGAAGGGTGGGCCGTCCCGGCTCCGCTGGTCTGCTGAGGCTGACCTGGCCTTCAGCAAACTGCGGGGTCTGTTCACCTCAGCCCCGGTACTGGCCCACCTCGATCCATCACTACCGTTCGTAGTGGAGGTGGATGTGTCCGAGGTAGGGATAGGCGCTGTCCTGTCTCAGCGCTCGGGCACGCCACCAAAGCGCTGCCCCTGTGCCTTTTCTCAAAGAAGCTCAGCCCGGCGGAGCAGAACTACGACGTTGGTGATCGGGAGCTGTTGGCTGTTGTCCGAGCTTTGACCGTGTGGAGGCATTGGCTCGAAGGGGCGAAACACCCTTTCCTCGTCTGGATGGACCACCGTAACCTGGAGTATATCCTGGAAGCAAGGAGGCTAAATCCTCGCCAGGCCAGGTGGGCCCTATTCTTCACCCGGTTTGATTTTACACTGTCATACATTCCGGGTACGAAGAACGTGAAGGCAGATGCACTGTCCCAGCTCTATGACACAGAGGAGAGGCCCAGAGACAACACCCCCATACTCCCGGCCTCCTGCAGTGTGGCGCCGGTAGTATGAGCGATGGACGCGGATATAGAGCAGGCATTACGCACAGATCCATCTCCACCTCAGTGTCCAGCTGGGCTGCGGTATGTGCCTGCTCTTATCCGTGATCGTCTGATCTACTGGGCACACATGTCACCCTCCTCTGGTCACCCAGGTATCGGTCGTACAGTGCGCTGCCTGACCAGAAAGTACTGGTGGCTACCTTGTCTAAGGACATGAGGGTGTATGTCTCCTCCTGCTCGGTGTGCACCCAGAGTAAGGCACCTAGGCACCTCCCAGCGGTTAAGTTACAACCTTTACCAGTTCCACAACGACCATGGTATCACCTAAGTGTTGATATTATTGACTGATCTTCCCCTCTCCCAAGGTAACACCAACATCCTGGTCGTTGTGGACCGCTTTTCCAAGTCTGCCACCTCCTTCCTCTGCCCGGTCTCCCCACGGCCCTGCAAACTGCGGAGTCCCACGTTCACCTCCAGCGCGCCGTGCATCGTCAGAAGGCCAACGCTGACCGCCACCACAGTGAGGCCCCGGTCGTCGTACCGGGGGATCGGGTCTGGCTCTCGACCCGGAATCTGCCCCTCTGCCTGCCCTGCCGGAAGCTGAGCCCGCGGTTTGTGGGGCCGTTCAAAGTCCTGAGGAGAATCAACGAGGTCACTTATAGGTTATTACTTCCCCCTGATTACCGTATTAACCCCTCATTTCATGTGTTTCTCATCAGGCCAGTGGTGGTTGGTCCGCTCCAGGAATCTGAGGTGCGCAAGGTTCCTCCACCTCCTCTGGACATCGAGGGGGCCCCGGCGTACTCTGTCCGTTCCATCCTGGATTCGAGGCGTCGGGTGGGGGGCCTTCAGTACCTCGTGGAGTGGGAGGGGTACGGTCCGGAGGAACGGTTCTGGGTCCCGGTGAGGGATAACCTCGATCCCTCCCTGTTGCGGGATTTCCACCGTCGCCATCCGGCTCGCCCTGCTCCGCGTCCTCCTGGCCGTTCCTGAGGCCGGGGTCAGCGCGCTGCTGGAGCTGCGCGTCAAGGGGGGTGGGAGGGTACTGTCACAACTTCCGCCGAGGCTGCCTCCCCTCCATGTTCGGGCAGGCTTCGGCGTTCATCGTCACCGGCTTACTAGCCACTGCCGCTCCATATATCATCATTCCATTTGTCTTGTCTTGTTAATTACACACACCTGGTTCTTATCCCCTCATTAGTCTGTGTATAAGTGTTCCCTCTGCCCGCTTGGTCCTTGTGGGTGATTGTTTATTCGTGAGAGTAGTGTAGCTCGGTGGAGCTACTCGTACCTTGTTATTGCCGGGGTAGATATTTCCCCTGTGCCTGTTATTGTTGGAGCTACCGTTACCTTGTATTGCCAGGGTAGATTTTACCCTGTGCCTGTTTCGTTTGTCGCTATCCAGCGCTATTTGTGTACGACGGAATAAACTCTGCATTCGGTGATTACCGTCCTGCGCCTGACTCCTTCTATCACACTCATCACAGTGGTGCTTGAGGCTGGCCTCATCAAAGGCTCTCCAGTGGAAAGGTAATTTGTCTGGGTGATCTAACTAATGTATTCTATGCAGGGATACAATTATTCATATACTGTATGTATGATTTATTCATGGTAGAGTAGTGTAGTTTAATATACTTGACATTTCATCTACTGATTGTGAAACATCCCACTGGGCGCAGACGTCAGTTCAACGTCTAGTTTTTATTTACATTTGGTTGAGTTGTCAACTAACGTAAATTCAGCGTGAAATCAACAGAAAATGTCACAATGCCATTGGATGTAGATAAAAATTTGGGTGAAGAAATATGCAAAAATATGGAATATGTTCCGGGATTCTTCCGATGGCATTGAGGAGTACACCACATCAGTCACTGGCTTCATCAATAAGTGCATCGATGACGTCGTGCCCACAGTGACCGTACGTACATACCCCAACCAGAAGCCATGGATTACAGGCAAAATCCGCACTGAGCTAAAGGGTAGAGCTGCCGCTTTCAAGGAACAGAACTCTAACCCGGACGCTTATAAGAAATCCCGCTATGCCCTCAGACGAAACATCAAACAGGCAAAGCGTCAATACAGGACTAAGGATGAATCGTACTACACCGGCTCCGACGCTCGTCGGATGTGGCAGGGCTTGCAAACTATTACAGACTACAAAGGGAAGCACAGCTGCGAGCTGCCCAGTGACACGAGCCTACCAGACGAGCTAAATCACTTCTATGCTCGCTTCGAGGCAAGCAACACTGAGGCATGCATGAGAGCATCAGCTGTTCCGGACAACTGTGTGATCACGCTCTCCGTAGCCGATGTGAGTAAAACCTTGAAACAGGTCAACATTCACAAGGCCGCAGGACCAGACAGATTACCAGGACGTGTACTCCGAGCATGCGCTGACCAAGTTGCAAGTGTCTTCACTGACATGTCCCTGACTGAGTCTGTAATACCAACATGTTTCAATCAGACCACCATAGTCCCTGTGCCAAAGAACACTAAGGTAACCTGCCTAAATGACTACAGACCTGTAGCACTCACGTCTGTAGCCATGAAGTGCTTTGAAAGGCTGGTCATGGCTCATATCAACACCATTATCCCAGAAACCCTAGACCCACTCCAATTTGCATACCACACAAACAGATCCACAGATGATGCAATCCCTATTACACTCCACACTGCCCTTTCCCACCTGGACAAAAGGAACACCTACGTGAGAATGCTATTCATTGACTACAGCGCCGCATTCAACACCTTAGTGCCCTCAAAGCTCATCACTAAGCTAAGGACCTTGGGACTAAACACCTCCCTCTGCAACTGGATCCTGGACTTCCTGACGGGCCGCCCCCAGGTGGTAAGGGTAGGTATCAACACATCTGCCACGCTGATCCTCAACATGGGGGCCCCTCAGGGGTGCGTGCTCAGTCCCCTCATGTACTCCCTGTTCACACATGACTGCATGGCCAGGTACGACTCCAACACCATCATTAAGTTTGCCGACAACACAACAGTGGAAGGCCTGATCACTGACAATGATGAAACAGTCTATAGGGAGGAGGTCAGAGACCTGGCTGTGTGGTGCCAGGATAACAACCTCTCCCTCAGCGTGATCAAGACAAAGGAGATGATTGTGGATTACAGGAAAAAGAAGAGGACCGAGCACGCCCCCATTCTCATTGATGGGGCTGTAGTGGAGCAGGTTGAGAGCTTCAAGTTCCTTGGTGTCCACATCACCAACAAACTATCATGGTCCAAACACACCAAGACAGTTGTGAAGAGGGCACGACAAAGCCTATTCCCCATCAGGAGACTGAAAAGATTAGGTATGGGTCCGCAGATCCTCAAAAAGTTATACAGCTGCACCATCGAGAGCATCCTGACTGGTTGCATCACTGCCTGGTATGGCAACTGCTCGGCCTCCGACCGCAAGGCACTACAGAAGGTAGTGCGTACGGCCCAGTACATCACTGGGGCCAAGCTTTCTGCCATCCAAGACCTCTATACCAGGTGGTGTCAGAGGAAGGCTCTATAAATTGTCAAAGACTACAGCCACCCTAGTCATAGACTGTTCTCTCTGCTACAGCACGGCAAGCGGTACCAAGTCTAGGTCCAAAAGGCTTCAAAACAGCTTCTACCCCCAAGCCATAAGACTCCTGAACAGGTAATCAAATGGCTACCCGGACTATTTGCATTGTGTCGTCGTAATCCCCCCCCACCCCCACCCCTCTTTTACGCTGCTGCTTCTATCCGTTTACTATCTATGCATAGTCACTTTAACTATACCTTCATGTACATATTACCGCAATTACCTCGACCAACCGGTGCCCCCACACATTGACTCTGTACCGGTACCCCCTGTATATTGCCTCGCTACTGTTATTTTTACTGTTATTTTACTGCTTTTATTTTTTACTTATCTATTGTTTACTTATCTATCGTTTACCTAACACTTATTTCTCTTAAAACTGCATTGTTGGTTAGGTCTTGTAAGTAAGCATTTCACTGTTAGGTCTACACCTGTTGTATTTTGCAAATCCAAACAGTTTACCATGTTGATAAAACGTCATCACATTGAATTTTTTAGTTGAAATGACGTGGAAACAACATTGATTCAACCAGTTTTTGCCCAACCACTACACTACTCAACCAGTTTTAACACTACGCAGGGATAAAATGATTCTGATATGTATAGTCGTGGTCAAAAGTTTTGAGAATGACACAAGTATTGGTCTTCACAAAGTTCGCTGCTTCAGTGTTATGAGATATTTTTGTCAGATGTTACTATGGTATACTGAAGTATAATTACAAGCATTCCATAAGTGTCAAAGGCTTTTATTGACAATTACATTAAGTTTATGCAAAGAGTAAATATTTGCAGTGTTGACCCTTCTTTTTCAAGACCTGTGCAATCCGCCCTGGCATGCTGTCAAATAACTTCTGGGCCACATCCTGACTGATGGCAGCCTATTCTTGCATAATCAATGCTTGGAGCTTGTCAGAATTTGTGGGTTTTTGTTTGTCCACCCGCCTCTTGAGGATCGACCACAAGTTCTCAATGGGATTAAGGTCTGGGGAGTTTCCTGGCCATGGACCCAAAATGTCGATGTTTTGTTCCCCGAGCCACTTAGTTATCACTTTTGCCTTATGGCAAGGTGCTCCATCATGCTGGAAAAGGCATTGGTCGTCACCAAACTGTTCTTGGATGGTTGGGAGAAGTTGCTCTCGGAGGATGTGTTGGTACCATTCTTTATTCATGGCTGTGTTCTTAGGCAAAATTGTGAGTGAGCCCACTCCCTTGGCTGAGAAGCAACCCCACACATGAATGGTCTCAGGATGCTTTACTGTTGGCATGACACAGGACTGATGGTAGCGCTCACCTTGTCTTCTCCGGACAAGGTGTTTTCCGGATGCCCCAAACAATCGGAAAGGGGATTCATCAGAGAAAATGACTTTACCCCAGTCCTCAGCAATCCAATCCCTGTACCTTTTGCAGAATATCAGTCTGTCCCTGATGTTTTTCCTGGAGAGAAGTGGCTTCTTTGCTGCCCTTCTTGACACCAGGCCATCCTCCAAAAGTCTTTGCCTCACTGTGCGTGCAGATGCACTCACACCTGCCTGCTGCCATTCCTGAGCAAGCTCTGCACTGGTGGTGCACCGATCCCGCAGCTGAATCAACTTTAGGAGATGGTCCTGGCGCTTGCTGGACTTTCTTGGGCACCCTGACGCCTTCTTCACAACAATTGAACCTCTCTCCTTGAAGTTCTTGATGATCCGATAAATGGTTGATTTAGGTGCAATCTTACTAGCAGCAATATCCTTGCCTGTGAAGCCCTTTTTGTGCAAAGCAATGATGACGGCACGTGTTTCCTTGCAGGTAACCATGGTTAACATAGGAAGAACAATGATTTCAAGCACCACCCTCCTTTTAAAGCTTCCAGTCTGTTATTCTAACTCAATCAGCATGACAGAGTGATCTCCAGCCTTGTCCTCGTCAACACTCTCACCTGTGTTAACGAGAGAATCACTGACATGATGTCAGCTGGTCCTTTTGTGGCAGGGCTGAAATGCAGTGGAAATGTTTTTTGGGGATTAAGTTCATTTTCATGGCAAAGAGGGACTTTGCAATGAATTGCAATTCATCTGATCACTCTTCATGACATTCTGGAGTATATGCAAATTGCCATCATAAAACTGAGGCAGCAGACTTTGTGAAAATTATTATTTGTTTCATTCTCAAAACTTTTGACCACGACTGTATTATCTATTCATGGTAGATTAGTGTATTTTAATATTACTGACATTTCATCTACTGATTGTGAACAAATGACACTATTCTAATGTGATAGTATTGTACACATTACACAGCACAGCAGCCAGGAAATGAACATATGAAATAGGAATATACTGTTTTGATAGGTTGTAAGTGGTTGTCATAGAACTGGATCTCACCATCACTGCGCAGCACCAGAGGCGTGGGCGGGCCCTGGACTCTGGTTTTGGTGACAGTATTGGTCACCACACAGGTGTAGTTGCCCACATCAGAAGGCTCCACTTTAGCAATGTATAGATTCCCCGTCTCCTGGGAGATAAAGCGTCGTGTGTCCTGCTTCACAAACGAGGGATACTCATTAAAAATCCAGGAGAATGTCAGATCTGTGGAGAAAGGAGAATAAATGTTTGAGATCAAATACAACTAAAATTACACCAGGGTTCCAGGGCCACGCTGACTCTCCTTATTAGAATAATACCACAGGAGAATAGGGAGAATACCAGTTTTGTCTGGTTGGAATTGATTTGGTGGTGTAGCAGGTGTGTGGGGTTGTTTGATTCTTCACCCTCCAAAGGGGTTGCAGAAACCCCACAGAGCTACACGCTAGGGTGAAAATTAATGATTGCTCGAGTGTGATGAGTTAGGAGGTGCTGTAATTTTCTGGACACATTTCAAAATTAATATTGTTTTGTGGCAGGGTTTATATTGTAAAAAAAAAAAACATATTGCATTTTGACGAAATCAGAGGACATTTTGTAGATAATACAAGGCCTTGAGATTGGCTGAATGTTTTATTTCACAGAGCAAACCAACTTTAAACATGCAATTCTAAGTTGTTAAGAATGACCAACCAGGAAGCCTAGTTAGGGTTTTGTTTTTGTAGCACACAGTTGGACAGCAGAGTAACATTACAAAAAATTATGGTTTTCTTGACACGACAGCGCAAGATAATACATTATTTGGGGAATGCATAAGCGATAGGCCTGATTTCTAAGGGACGATGGGCTTGAGCCGGCATCGTCACAAAATACTAGGTTAATTGTACATGTAAGTAAATATTAAAATAACTCTTACCATGATCGTAAAAATAACAATACAACATATAGTATACAGTACATTTGTAGGATCACAGGACAAGGCAGGATCTCAGATCTGCTGTGATTCACAGGATAACGAGCATCATGTTGGCTAGTAACTGTCAGGTGGGTCTCTCCAGTCATTCTCTTACTGTAAATGTCAGCATCTTTTTAATGTCACATCTTTTGTGGTTTGAGTCTTTCAAAAAGAACAAAACACACATTTTGAAGACTGACCTTTGTGATAGACACTTTTTTTGGCTATTCGTCTGGTGATTCATTTACTTTCTGTGCCTAGAGACTTCGGCTCCTTAGGCCGAAAGGATTCACAGAGGTGTAAAAAAAAAAAGGAAATGTTCATTCATTTGTATGCGTGACAGAGACAACTGAAATACTGTACATTCTTGAAAATCCTCTCCCATTCTGCATCTTTTGTAATGTTTTGTGTTAATCCAAGCTCACTGTTCCCACCAGGACTTTGAATGTGTCATCACCAAGAGCATCACCATCACCACCATCATCAACCACCATCATCGTCATTATTATCACCACCAACATCATCATCATCATCACCATCATCATCATCACCACCATCATCATCATCATCACCATGTAATTTAAAAGGTATGTAAAATCAGCTGTGATCCCATTAAACATGCTGTACCCTACAGCTAAACCATACTTTTAGGCTTCGACCTACTGCAAGGAACAAATGATAGACAGAGCCAGTGTAAGACGCATCGTGATTCGTGACAGTTTGATCTCAGCTGGGGTGCTTATCAAGAATACTGCTTTCAGGGTCATGTTATTTTTTTCTGTTGCCGAGCTCTCGTTTGAAGCTTTCAGGGACAAATGATTATTTCTGAATGTTCTGACATTCTAATCAGTGGCAGGCGGCCTGAGTGTTCCAGGCCTTCTAATTGACAGGCACGTACCTTTTCCCGCTGAGCCTAATCAAACCCATTCACTTGTTAGCTGGTTGGTAATTAAACAAAACAGTCTTGAAGGATTCCTCATTTACCTTTTCTATCTGCCTGGTCATTTATCACAGCAGGCTTCGATGCATGATGCAGCTCGCTCACAGTCAGGAGTAAGTACAGTGAGGAAAAAAAGTATTTGATCCCCTGCTGATTTTGTACGTTTGCCCACTGACAAAGACATGATCAGTCTATAATTTTAATGGTAGGTTTATTTGAACAGTGAGAGACAGAATAACAACAAAAAAATCCAGAAAAACGCATGTCAAAAATGTTATAAATTGATTTGCATTTTAATGAGGGAAATAAGTATTTGACCCCCTCTCAATCAGAACGATTTCTGGCTCCCAGGTGTCTTTTATACAGGTAACGAGCTGAGAGTGCTCCTAATCTCAGCTTGTTACCTGTATAAAAGACACCTGTCCACAGAAGCAATCAATCAATCAGATTCCAAACTCTCCACCATGGCCAAGACCAAAGAGCTCTCCAAGGATGTCAGGGACAAGATTGTAGACCTACACAAGGCTGGAATGGGCTACCAGACCATCGCCAAGCAGCTTGGTGAGAAGGTGACAACAGTTGGTGCGATTATTCGCAAATGGAAGAAACACAAAAGAACTGTCAATCTCCCTCAGCCTGGGGCTCCATGCAAGATCTCACCTCGTGGAGTTGCAATGATCATGAGAACGGTGAGGAATCAGCCCAGAACTACACGGGAGGATCTTGTCAATGATCTCAAGGCAGCTGGGACCATAGTCACCAAGAAAACAATTGGTAACACATTACGCCGTGAAGGACTGAAATCCTGCAGCGCCCGCAAGGTCCCCCTGCTCAAGAAAGCACATATACAGGGCCGTCTGAAGTTTGCCAATGAACATCTGAATGATTCAGAGGAGAACTGGGTGAAAGTGTGGTCAGATGAGACCAAAATCGAGCTATTTGGCATCAACTCAACTCGTCGTGTTTGGAGGAGGAGGAATGCTGTGCCTATGACCCCAAGAACACCATCCCCACCGTCAAACATGGAGGTGGAAACATTATGCTTTGGGGGTGGGGGACAGGACAACTTCACTGCATCAAAGGGATGATGGACGGGGCCATGTACTGTCAAAACTTGGGTGAGAACCTCCTTTCCTCAGCCAGGGCATTGAAAATGGGTTGTAGATGGGTATTCCAGCATGACAATGACCCAAAACACACGGCCAAGGCAACAAAGGAGTGGCTCAAGAAGAAGCACATTAAGGTCCTGGAGTGGTCTAGCCAGTCTCCAGACCTTAATCCCATAGAAAATCTGTGGAGGGAGCTGAAGGTTCGAGTTGCCAAACGTCAGCCTCGAAACCTTAATGACTTGGAGAAGAGGAGTGGAACAAAATCCCTCCTGAGATTTGTGCAAACCTGGTGGCCAACTACAAGAAATGTCTGACCTCTGTGATTGCCAACAAGGGTTTTGCCACCAAGTACTAAGTCATGTTTTGCAGAGGGGTCAAATACTTATTTCCCTCATTAAAATGCAAATCAATTTATTAAATTTTTTACATGCGTTTTTCTGGATTTCTTTGGGGTCAAATAGACCTACCATTAAAATTATAGACTGATCATGTCTTTGTCAGTGGGCAAACGTACAAAATCAGCAGGGGATCAAATACTTTTTTCCCTCACTGTATAGGCTACAGCATGAATCAGAGCAGGCCAATCAGCCTTTTCAGAAGTGTGTTTTGTCAGAGTCCTGAGTGTATAGAGGAACACAGAAGGTGACGGCACAGCACGCGGAGAGGAGGGGAGAGGACCACAGAGACATGGACCACTCTGCTCTCCAAGGCAGGACAAGGCATATTGTTTTGGCTCGTTTCCTCTCCATTGCTCATGGGTTGTGCTTGCACCTGCTCACACAAGTGTTTACAACTTATAAGTTTCATGTTGACTACAGTACGGGAAAATAATGGCAGAGCAATAAAATGTAATGATAATTCAGTGTTGAACAAGACTAGGAAACATAACTGAAATATATTCTCAAAAACCTGTAATTGGTTATTGCAGGTCGAATAGAGGATAATTCATTTGCATAATGTGACAGAGGGCGTTTGACTTCAACTAATATTTAGACTTAAGACTAAATTGAGATGGAGACTGAAATCAATATTTACCTAACGCATCAATAATTATTCCATAATGTAAACAGTGTTGCATGACTACCATAGCAACAGGAAATTAGCTCACTCATTAATATGACGATCAAGGCCTGCCAGCCAGCAAACCCGCTCAAACGGGCAAATAATAAATAGTAAAGTCAAGTCACATTTTATTTACAGTACATTTCACACAGCTGATAAATTGCTTGATCATGTTTATTTTCAACAAACAAAATGACAATCACACAGGCCAAAGAAAGTAAAAAGACTAGAAACAATCTCCAAGTTGCAGAAAATTCCTCAGATTTTTACCACACCATAATGTGTGCGATTATGAATGCTAGATACAGATAACTGACGAAATAAAGGAAACACCAACATAACGTGTCTTAATATGGCGTTGGGCCACCACAAGCTGCCAGAACAGCTTCAATGCCCCTTGGCATAGATTCTACACGTTTCTGGAACTCTATTGGAGGGATGCGACACCATTCTTCCACAAAAAATTCCATAATTTGGTGTTTTGTTGATGGTGGTGGAAAACGCTGTCTTAGGCTCCGCTCCAGAATCTCCCATAAGTGTTCAATTGGGTTGAGATCTGGTGATGCATGCGCATGCACAAGCCTAACCCTAACCCTAATTCTTAAGCATAAAATAGAATTTTTCCTTGTGGGGACTGGCGAAATGTTCCCACTTGTCAGACTTTCCCTTGTTTTACTATCCTCCTGAGGACTTCTGGTCCCCACAAGGACAGTAACACCAAACACACACACACACGCTAAAATAATGAGCAACTGAGTACTTTTATACATGACCTTAAGCATGATGGGATGTTAATTGCTTAATTAACTCAGCAACGACACCTGTGTGGAAGCACCTTCTTTCAATATACTTTGTATCCCTCATTTACTCAAGTGTTTACTTTTATTTTGTCAGTTACCTGTAGATAAAGCATTCTGTAGAGTGTGGGCATATTCTAAGAGATTATACGTTTGAGAAGAGAGGAGTTTCCACTTTGAGGAGTCTCCCGAGAGGCTTGTGAGATGCTGACAAATTATAGCGCGGTGTGTATCTAGACTGCTGACAAATTATACCGCAGTGTGTATCTAGACTGCTGGGTTTACACAATGCTTCGGAGAAGTCGCAATGAAATGAAGAGATCCGCAAAAACAGAGACCAGCAAGTATATCGTAAATAATTTGTGAAAATGTAAAAATTATGTAAGAAGACGGAGACACTAAGCAATTCTCCAAAATAAAATCGGACATACTTTAAGACAACACAGCTGTGTCGTAAGTCTCCAATACAGAATGTAGCATACAATTCATTTCTGTCACACTCAGGGAAAATAACATACTGTATGACTGAAAGCAACATTTCTTAGAAATGTTAGCTCATTTATTGTGGTCCTCTGTAGCTCAGCTGGTAGAGCACGGCGCTTGTAACGCCAAGGTAGTGGGTTTGATCCCCGGGACCACCCATACACAAAAAAAATATATATATATATGCACGCATGACTGTAAGTCGCTTTGGATAAAAGCGTCTGCTAAATGGCATATTTATTTATTGAAAATGAAATACAGAAATATCTCATTTACATAAGTATTCACACCCTTTGTAGAAGCACCTTTGGCAGCGATTACAGCTGTGATTCTTTCTGGGTAAGTCGCTACGAGCTTTCCACACCTGGATTGTGCAACATTTGCCCATTATTATTTTCAAAATTCTTCAAGCTCTGTCAAATTGTTTGTTGATAATTGCTAGACAACCATTTTCAAGTCCTGCCATAGATTTTCAAGCAGATTTAAGTCAAAACTGTAACTTGGCCACTCAGGAACATTCACTGTCTTCTTGGTAAGCAACTTCAGTTTAGTTTTGGTGTAGTGTTGAACGGTGAATTCATCTCCCAGTGTCTGGTGGAAAGCAGACTGATTTTTTACAGGATTTTGCCTGTACTTACCTCCAATTATGTTTATTTTTTATCCTGAAAAACTCCCCAGTCCTTAACGATTACAAGCATACCCATAACATGATGCAGCCACCACTCTGCTTGAAAATATGGAGAGTGCTACTCAGTAATGTGTTGTATTGGATTTGCCCCAAACATAACACTTTGTATTTAGGACAAAAAGCTAATTGCTTCGCCACATTTTTTGCAATATTATTTTAGTGCCTTGTTGCAAACAGGAATATTTTGAATATTTTTTATTCTGTACAGGCTTCCTTCTTTTCACTCTGTCAATTAGGTTTATATTGTGGAGTAACTACAATGTTGTTGATCCATCCTCAGTTTTCTCCTATCAAAGCCATTAAACTCTGTAACTGTTTAAAGTCACCATTGGCCTCAAGGTGAAATCCCTGAGAGGTTTCCTTCCTCTCCGGCAACTGAGTTTGGGAGGATGGCTGTATCTTTGTAGTGACTGGGTGTATTGATACACCATCCAAAGTGTAATTCATAACTTCACCATGCTCAAAGGGATATTCAATGTCTGCTTTTTATTTTATT